TTCTGCCTGGCCTCTGGAAGCCGCTCTAATGGTTTGACCCAAAGGTTATTGAAAGAATATTAGCGTCAAAGCATCAAATAACACATATGATGCGTGGTTAAGAAATAGCCAAGAAACCAGAGCCCTGATCTCAACATAAACTCGTCATCCGGGCAGTTGATTAGGGCGGTCGTCAACGGGCCGCAGCGCGTGCCAGGAACTATTTGCTTTTCCAGGCTAATTTAGTCATTTTTTCCACCTTGTGAAGATAAGGAGCTGCTAATCTGGGAAAAAGTAGCCAAAACAGTGAAAAGTTGGAAAAATGACTAAATTAGCCTGGAAAAAGCAAATAGTTCCTGGCACGCGCTGCGGCCCGTTGACGACCGCCCTAATCAACTGCCCGGATGACGAGGTTAAACGTTGATGTTCTGCACCAAGATACAGCCCATAACACGGTGCCTGGAGAGAATGTGCCAACAAACTTAACTGTGAGCGCGGCTGCGGTTGCGTGTCTGTGAACAGTTATAAGTCAGCGATGCGCCAACGTCTTATGGAACTTCTGGATAAAAACTATACCGTAGTATGTAAATGATGTCCTTTTTTGGTTAACGCAAATATTATTTACTAATGAAACTCAGTTAAACTCGATTTCAAAGGCAAAAGGCAAAACACTTTCGAAGAAAGATACGGATCAAAACATCATTAAAGAGAATCGCTTCGCTATTACACTACATGTTCGTTCTTTCGACTTTCTGTGAAATGTTGACGCATTCCTCAGGAATTTTCAACGTTGTTAAGTCAGAATTCTCAAGATTTTCGACAGTCGCATCGAAAAAAAAACGCGAAAAGTAGGGTCAAGTCACGTCACTGGCGGAGGATGAAGCGAACGTTGAACTTTTCGAGATAATTACTTGACTTCAAAGGCGGCCCTGCATTTTTGGGCAGAACCCAGGTTTTGGCTAAATAAAGTGACACGGGTGACGGTGAAGCTGAAAAAATGGGCCATGGCACGATTCCTAGAAGGAGAAAAGTGACCAACTCGGGAGCTGAATTCTAGCGGAAGCTAACGGTTTGACGATTCCTTTTCAGCTAACGTCAGACGAAACTTTTCATTGCAGCAATAACGCCCCAACAAAATCGGCGTACTCGGAGGCTTGAACGTGACTAAGGATTAAAGATTTGCTCTCTAATTCGTCAAACGCCTCCTCCTCCCGCCAGCATTTCCGCCGGAAGTTCACCGGAAAACGAAAAAAGTTCCATGTGAGCGAGACAACCTCACCAAGTTCATCACCACATGGGTGGATTTGGTAAGTTCGTTCCCTGAGGACGGCGACCTGATCGAAATGTTAAGCATCCAATGAAGAGTTCCACTGGCAGACCTCGTTGGCATAAAAAGAAAGAACATCACAGCCAGCCACAAGGTTGAGGCCTGATGAAGACGACTGTGGAATTGACGGAGCTCGAAGCTTGGAACTCAACCAACGTAGGTCGAAGGCACTATCACCGCGGCAGGGAAGACCAGATCGCGCCGTACATTTGGCATAATGTTGTGTAATCTATCTCGGGAAGTCAATCAAACACTAGGACGACCGGAGGCGTAATAGTCAGACCTTAAAGACACACTTCGCGTTGGTTTCATGTTCAGATGCTTTCTTTTGACAGGAAAGTCCTGTTCGCAAGTATGGAGGTTGTACCACAGCTTTGTGCAGCTTAAAAATACCTGACGAGGCCGCGGTCCAGCACACTGGCCACAGCAACGCCAAACATTCATTTTTAGGGGCTCACTGGTGGTGTGGTTGTTCCGGTACTAGTTACTTTCACCTCATCATCTCACTCTCCATTCCGAATGGTGAGAGTGAGGTGACTGTTCACCTCACTCTCACCATGAGGTGACACCAGCAAGTGAAAACTCTTTCGATCACGCCCCTTCTTCGCCTTACGCACGTTCTAGAGCGGATCAGTACAGGTTTTTATATAAGGCATTTCGAGCGGGTTTTTCCTGCTTTTTTCTTAGTTTTTTGTGTTATTTACCACCTTGGCATTAGTAAATGAGCCGCATGACTTATCATTTCTGAGCTCGGGCGAGCCTATAAGATTGCTCTTGGAGAACAGAATGAGCACTGCCGCCTTCAAATGAAAACTGCCCCAACGAGAAGACGGAACTTTAGTCAGGGACGAATGGAGGTGTTAGTGGTGCCATCTCGATAACTGATGACCGGGGCAACAGTTGATACAGGTGAGAATAAGTCATCTGAGACTCCACATAGAGTATAGAGTTTCACATTGGGAGCTCAAAGGTTAGAGAGAAGAAAAGAATAAAAAAAGGAAATATTGGAATATCAGACACGTCTTAGAATGAAAGCTAGACAAAACGGCGTAGGAAGGTGCCGTGCCAGGAGCAGCTGAGAGAAAAACCATGCCTCAAAGGCAATATAAAACCGATAAAAGCAAGGACGTGATAAGACAGATGATTCTCCCAGACAAATTACCTCTCTGATGTCATTCAAAAAGGTTCTGATACCTCTATTTCTTATAGGAGGCGTTCATTTCAAATAAACTAGTTCTTGGGCCAATACTATCCATTTCATACATTCCATTAATTCAATTCATTCGTTCGACAATTCATTCGTCACACATTCAGCGTGCCATCAAAAGACGACGCTCGCAGTTCCCCTCTGCACACGAGTGAGGAATCTAGACCTTCGCACTCCGTAGACGACCGAAGATCAGGGACGCAGCCGCATTTGGCAAGGTTTCAAAGATCAGGCGGGTCAGGCACGTCATGGGGCACATTATGCGACGATGACTGCTAGACCGGAACGATTCCACTTAATGCCAAGTGACACATGGACGACTATCCGTGCAATGGACAAACTTCTACGTTAAAGCTCTGAACGAACGGTGAAGCTCTGAAGCTCATCGTGCCCCTCGAGCAGAAAAACCATTGGGCCACTCTAGCACGTTGCAGGACACAATGGGAGACGTTATTGGCACCCGCACGAGCAATTCGATGATCAATGGGAGCACGGATGATACAGCTGAACTGAATTCTATACTGTCTTACATTCCACTATACGAAATTTCGGCAAATTACAAACAATTGGGAAGGAAATTTCGCTCAGGTACAGAATGAAGACTCCTCTTTCCGAACAAGCTTTAGTGATGAAGCCTCTAGAACAGAAACCTCCTTCAAAACTGCACCCTTCGACGAACTACTACATCAAGTACAAGGACAGCCACAGGAATTGTAAAAGCCAGAGAAAACCAGCATCCTAGCGTCATGCTGTAAGTGGTTGAGTACAGTGTAGGACGGACGTTAGGATAAGGATGCAACTGCCTTGTTTGACAACATATCTGATGGTGTTGCACTGTGCACCAGTTTCAGTTGATCTTAAAGTCCGGGAACGTTATCAGCAGAGATTACAAAAGAATCTATTCCTTCTTAATTATAGGCTAGAGTGACGAAGCGCTCAGGAATCGTCAGTATTATGAACATTTTTGAAGCATTTTTTCGTCTGATGACTGAGTGCGGTGTGTTCCGCCACGTGAAGTCAAGCCCAATCGATGACGTAGTGGTTCACCACTCCCGCTGACGGGCGAGTGCGCTATCCATTGCGCGAGCCGAGCAGGGCTTTAGCCCTTTCACCTCAACCGTTTTTGTGCCACAACGCCCTTCCCCCGCGCCGGTGGGGGGGGGCCGGTCCCGAACCCATGGCCGTGTGGATAAGCACACCACGCCGGTCAAAAATGTTTTGAGTCCCGTCCGGAGTCCATGCTTACACACATCACGCCCATACTGTCTCATTTACATGCGTTAACTACAGAAATTTCTAGCAGTAGCAGATACAGAACACACACGCAAATTCAAAATCCATTTCAATAGCTCACATGCTCTCGAAAGCTTTTTAAAATATCTTATTAAAAATAAAATAAAATAATATAAAATATATTTGAAATATCTTGCGATATTCGGTGCGTAACATCTTCTTGAGGCACAGTTGTCCCGAAATAAATATTATTATTATTATTATTATTATTATTATTATTGAATATAATTATTGATATTATTTATTCCGGGACGACTGGCCCTGACGAAGGTGCTACGCACCGAAATATCGCAAGATATTTCAAAAAACTTTCGAGACTTTTAGTGTCTTTGAGTATTTTGGAAGAAATTTTTGTAGTTTCACATTGTTTCTACACATTCAGATAAGAATTGAGACTCCGAGACAGCACAATACTCCAGCTACAGACATTGTTGATACAAGAAGAACAAACAGTGTTTATAGTATAAAGAGGAATTAAAATGTCAACTTCAAAACGCGATCAAAAGAAATTACTTGTGATCAGTCGCGCGATCCTCAAGAAAGTAAGTTACTGTGGAGGGAAGCTGCAGGGGGAACTACAAATGTTGGCAATATTGGCATCTATGCGTACCGCTATTAATACATGATTACCATCATATCACTCCTGCCACTGAATCACGGAAAAAGCGAACAAAGCACGAGACATTTCGGCGCGCCGCTCCCAAGGAGCGCTTATTCTGGTCCATGGCTAATAGTGAAGCCGTAGATAGTCCCTCGCCATAGCGCTATGAATAAATAACAGTGAGGCGTTATGACCATGAGACGGTAGTTTCTTGCAAAATCAGCCGAGGGTTTAGCGGCGCGTGATTTTGGCGTGTCCCCAGGCCCTATACCACCACTCGTTGAACACTCGCTCGAACCCGCAACCATTGGTGGAAACGGGCTAGCGCCCCACCACACGCTGACAGGCCCCGATTGTCTTTAGAGATAACGATGTTGCAGTACATGCTACATAGCTGCAAAGCACTTTTGGCCCCTACGTACAACTAATGTTTTCAATGTTATTTGATAAATGATCTTCAAAGGTAACTTGCAGAGCCCGCTAATCTCGAAGAAGAAGATCAAATCGAACTCACTAAAAACCTGGAGTGCCCTCCCTTTGAGGAAACCATATTGTGTTCCGTCACAAAATAGTAAAAATGTTTGTACAATGTGTTAACGTGCGGCTCCTAAAGAGGGTTTTGTAACATTTTTGCACAGAATGTTCCACAACAGTGCAACATTTTTACACCCATTGGTTCACAACGCGACGAGAGAAAAAGTATCCGAAAAAAAAGACGAAAAAAAGAAAGTAAAAAAATGGTTTGCGCAGAATGTACAGCAACGATGAGTTCAAGAGGAACACTCACCGCACCAATCGTTTGGACTAAAGCGTGGTCGAAGAGTGATTGAAGGTGTATAACCGTGGAACGAAAAACGCGGAAGAGACGCGTGAGTATCTTCTTGCAGACTTGACGGAAAATCTTTCGGAAACGGTACGTCTGGAAAACATGGAATGATTATCAAAGGGAAAAACCACACACACACACAGTCAAAAATGTGAAGAAATAGAAGAATAATCAGGAAAAACGGTAAGTTTCCACACCCCCGAAGTTCCGCAGTGGTTGGGGAGGAGTAACTAACAAGTAGAGCGCAATTAAATAGGGCGCTAGTTTCAAAAACAACATCGTAAGATGCGCATATACGAAGGCAACTGCACATAAATGCACTGACTGACGCAGATGTAGGGTGTTGGATACATCTCAAAGAAGCCGGCGTTCTGTATAGGTTTTAACTCAAGCGTTACTGAAAGGGAGCCCCCGTCGCTCGTGAGGTTAGGTACATTGGTTGTCCCGTTTCCTTGTGCAAGTAGTTCTGCTCCAGGCTAGAGACTGTCCCACTCTCGCGTCTCCACAGCGAGCGAGGAGCGAGCTACAGCCGCTGAAAGTTCTAGTTCTAACCTCGCCCACTTGAACCGCCCACTTGCTTGAGCTGCCCTCTGATGGAGAGCCGCTCTCTTGTTCACTGTTGGGGCGGCGGGCATTAATCGGAATTGCATGCCCTTTTTGCTGACCGCGCTCGTGCCCATGAATGGTTCTGCTCTCCTTTATTACATTTTATTTATTAGGAAGCACATACAGTCAACTCCAACTCATCTTGCAGGGTAAAACGCGGTAACAAATTACTTATGACCTCGACCTTTCGTGGCGCGCGAAAAGCTCGATGCCAGCCACATACCTAAAAGACGCATGCTACCCGGTAACCTAAATTCAGACGCCTAGTTGGTTTTGGCAAGTTCCTTTCCCCTTTCAAATAGTTTTTCTCCGTGTTTTTGTTGTTGTGTGTGCATTCTTTTCATTGCATTGGATGATGTCCGCTTACTGATAGATGTGAAGTAGGGAATTTGTGAAGGCCAGGGTTGCAACAGCGCGCAGGGCGGTATGACTGTAGGGAAGCGATTTGTGTTATGGGTGTTTTAAGCACTCTTATCTTGCTTTTTTTTCTTGCTTGGGAATTACTATGAGCTTAAGCTTTTCCATAATTGAACAAGCAACTAACCGACCATGATTTTTATCACCGCGCGCAGCCTTTCTTTAAAGAACTTACTAGTCTTCACGGGAACTCCGCACCCAGCCATTCAGTAGGCGACTTTCCTTGTCAATGTAGTCTGACCAGTTTTTAAGGACTTTACCGTTTTTCGCCGGCTTCAGCAGTGAGTGGACGAGGCGCTGCGCCCCGACTAATAAGTGGCCAGTTCTGAACGCCTGCCCTAGTTGCTTTACCGGCAGCGCAGAAGCTCAAAGGTACGTTCTGTTGGCGAGCTCTTCCTACACCATATTTTTTTCGGTTAGTATTAGCTCTGGATGACGCGAGGAAGCGATTAGTAGCCGAAGGCGGCAGGATATCGCTCAGCTGGCATAAACGAGCAGGTCCTGACAATTCGCACAGTGAGCAAAGGAGGTCCTTATTTAGGGTGTTCCCCATAATTTTTTGCTTTTTGTTCATTTGGAGGGTCCTCAGCACAGTCTTAGCTAGCTCGTCATTGCACTTAAGACTCACCGACGAATATGCGATCGCGGGGCTCGTCTTCAAAATCATGAAGCCAGCAATTATACTCTCTTTTAGAGGGTGCAATTTAAAAAAAGTAATGGAAGATAGTAGAGAACAAGAACAAAAGTATAGAGGAACAATGTTAGCTATTCAAAAGGATAACCTAAAAGGAAACATCACCATGAAACATGGCAGCATGAACAAACAAACGCAGGACAATAAAATGTCATATCGCAGGGCAAACATTCAGAGATGGCGTGGGAAACTGGGTCAGATGAAAAACAATTATTGCGAAAAAGCAGTAGTTGGAAAACTTACTGGTAGATGTCGGAAAAATAGCTTCATCGTTGATTCTAAGTTCAATCCAATCCATCAGCAATACCATATAATCAGGTGCAGACAATCGAGTCGGTTTTTTGTACTCTGCACCGTCTTGCCACAAATATTCATATCTGTAAATTGTCTTTGGGAACCCTATGGAAAAAAATACCGGTTGAGTCAAAATACGTTTCACTTGGAACAGTTTACACTTCATATCCCGAAGAAGGAAAAAAGCGTGCCCTTCCCCCCACCCCCCAGTTCATTTCAAATTCCGCGGTAGGATGGCGTATTTAGAATGCGTTTTTCATGGTGATCCTTTCGAGATAATTGATATAGCGATCTTTTTTGCGCTGAACAAGGACATCACTAGAATTGTCCCAAAACGATATCCACCACAAGCGCAACCGCAGTTAGTGCCAATTTGAAGCCACACCCCCTCCCACCTTCGGGATATAGAGTCCTAGAGATACGTCCTCGTAAAAAACCGAAAAGTACCAATTTGTTTGAGCGGAAGGGTCTCCGTATATCTGTCAACCGCGATGCCTTCATCCCCGCTCCTTTTTTCCTCCTCTCTTTCTTTTCCTTCCTTCCCCCTCCCTTCCCTTTTATCATTTTTCCCTCTTAAAAGCTCGGTCAAAAGATGCGATGAGGAGTTACCCTCGCAGCAAAGAACATGGCTGACAGAAGCCCTTCAACCCAGCGAAATAGTGAAAAGAGATGTTTTGTTTGTTTTGTCTCAGCTCGCGATGAAAAAGCAATCACAAAATTGCTGAGTTAAGGTAAAAAGAAAATGTAAAGCAGAAGGTTGTTTGGAACATTTTGAGGACTCCATTTTACTAATGTAATGTGATCACTGTAGTGCCCATTCTGCTTACCTGAAGAAATCGGTTCACTCACCCGGGCTCCTTCCCTCCCTAGGCTTGGGCGTTAATCATCACCTTCCTTTCATAGCACCAGTTTTGCATGAGGAGTCCTTGAAATGCCCCCTAACCCACTCAACCCGTTCCAAGGAAACAGCCAAAAGAGAGCCAAAAAAACTTCAATCAAAACATCAGTGTGGCTAAACCAACTTCGATCCTCCAGACATTGTCGGGCAGGATTCCTTAGTGCACACATCCGAAACTGTACCATACATCAAATTTATACGATTGAAAAAGTCCACAGCTGAAAAGTGACTCATAAATGTTTGTCAATATGAAGTCAAATTTTAATTCATGCGCTGTTTTGCATCATGAACATGTTTGCATCAATCTGAATACAGAATGGAAAGTAGAGAACATATTTGAATGTTTGGTACCACCAAATGAAAACAACCGCACAAGGTTCAGCCTCAAGCCATATGTTGGTCTGAGACCCCACTCAAACATTCCCCCTAACTTTTCATTTACGGAATTTACTCCAACGCCATCAATGAAAAGTTGTAGATGCTATTTTCATGTTTCCTTTTTTTTGCAACTTGAAA